TGTGAACATTACAGGGGGGATTTTATTTCCTGTCATGCTGCTGGGGCTCTCTCTCCCCCCAGCAGCACCAGCTCTGTGTCCCCCCCAAAAGGGGGGCTTGGAATAAAATAGCTGCAGTGTTTTCCAAGCTGCCTCCCTCCTTTGGAGCAGGCTCTGTGCACCTGGCTCCTTCCCAAAGGAAACGGATCTGCCTGGATAACATTTCCCAACCTGATCACCAGGAATGCTGCTCCTTTTGCCCAGGACTTTCTCTGCCTCCCTCCACCGTGCTCTGGGCCCCCCAAAAGCAGGGATTCTCCCCATGTTCCTGCCCTGGTGCTGATGCCATCTCTCCTCTTGCTTTGCAGGGGCGATGCTTGGGGGAGACCTGAACAACACCAACGGAGCCTGCCCAAGCCCCGTGGGTGAGTAAGGAGCCTTCAGCCCCTGCCTGGCTCCATGGGGCCCTCCTGCTTTCCCCACACCTCCCACAGGGTTTTGCTTTGCTGTTGAGCCCGTGGGGAAGCACTGGGGAAGGTTTTGCCAAGGAGTTGGCATGTGGAGCTCCAGGCTGCCTTTGGTGGGGGTGCTGGTTTCGGTGACCAAGGAGTCTCCATCTACCCAGGGTTCTGGGGAGAGCTGCAGAGCAGGGAGGTGACCCCCAAAAACCAGGATTTGAGTGGCTCTGGGTTCAGCTCCTGCTGCTGTTGCCAATTCTCTGATCAATTAACACCCAGCTCCTCCTCGTGCTTGGGCCCTATAAAGGAACTTTACTGCAAGCAAAAGAAGCTCATTAAGGGCCTTTTCCACTGTGAGAGCCACGGTGCTAATGAGGCTCAGGCCTCGTGGCTCAGCTCCTCAGCTGTAAAATGCACTAACAACATCTCCATGCCCACATCTGCCTCTGCCATCTGCAGGCTGAGGATGTTGGGCCGCTGCTGGTGCAGGCACAGCCCAAAAAGCAGAGCCAGCCCTGGGTAGTGCTGGGAAGCAGCTGCTGCTCTCAGCACTGGCCTTGGCAGTGCTCCCAGGCTTGGCAGGGTAGATGCCATCCATCCCAGGGCAAGGGCAGAAGCAAAAGCTCCTGAGCCTGACTCCTCACCCCTTTTTGCAGTAGGTGCCCAGCTGGCAGCACAGAGCACTGTGGAATCCCACATCGCCCCAGTTAAAACCAAACTGGAGCCAGGTCCCGCTGGTTTTTGGGTGGGGTTGGACCAGTTGTGGTTTTGCAGCACCGTGGCCACCCAACCCCATCCCTGCACTCTGGAATGTGCCAGAAACAGCCATTTCCCTGTGCTGGGCAGCACCAGGGGGATTTGTTCACAGAGCAAAACCTGCAGGGTGCTTTGTGGGGCAGTGTCTCCCTGGGCTCTCCCAGCACGGAGCTTTGCTGATCCTTGAAGGCACAGGGAAAGGGCCATCATGCAGCTCTGGATTCTGGATTCTGCCAGGAATAACCATTTCCCTCGTGCCAGCACCACAGGGATTTCTTGCCAGAGCAAACCTGCCAGGGTGGTTTGTGGGGCAGTGTCTCCC